TGAGGGGGAGACAATTTGCAGCTCCTTTGCATGGCTTTTTCCAGTTGAGGGCCTACAAACCATTTGCAATTGCCAGGAGCGTGGAGTGAATCTGGTGGTGGGATATTTATATCTCTCTCTCGATATATAAAATAGATCTTTTTCTGTGGACAACTAGGTATTTTTATATATGTCTACATCATCGCCCTAAGTTGTTTCCTTCCTCCTGTCCACTTCTAAGACCTTGTCATTTATTCCCCACGGTGATGTCTGAGCAGCTGACACATCAAGGGTGATGATTTTCTCTAATAAGCTTTTTAACGAGCACCATATTGAGCGAAGTGCATTTGAACCAGATCCTTATTTAGCCGAACAAAGTGCACGCGGCGCGGGCAGGGGCGCGTTCTCTGCTCGCTGAGAGGCATGCGTTGGTGTTGGGAGCGGCTGCGTTCCTTCAATGGACTTCTCTCTCTATAGTTCACCGTGCGCTTTTAGAGAAAGATGCTCAGACCCTCTCCCAGAGGCTGGCTTGACAAAGGCAAAACTGAAATACAGAAACGAGCGCGTTGAGAAAACCTCCACCAGGCCCCGGTGGGTGGCAGGGGGTGGGTGGGGGGCCCCATTTTACATCTGTCTCGCAGTCGGCTGGACAAGAATCCCCACGCACTGAAGCCTGCCTGTGGGCCAGAGCTGCCCTGTAGGGGTCCCCGAGGTACCCATGTGGCTCCTGCCAACTGGGGCTTTGGGGTTGGTACTGGCGCCCCTTCCCTTGCTTCTCACGGGATTTTCTACGGTCACAGCCTGGGGACGCCAGGTCATGGTCGGGTTTTCCTGAGTCGGCTAGACTCTTGCCGGTAGGAGGGCTTGCCCCTGCTGCCACGGTTGTGGTTGATGCCCTACGGTGTGGTCTCTGGGTCCAGTTTATTTTCAAGTTTTTGTTTTTGTTTTTGTTGTTTCCATTCTTAAGCCAGTCCTTGGGTTTCTGATGTCTGCTCTAAATATCCCGCCCTCCAGCCCTTTTTTGTCTTCACGTTTCTTGACTTTTTGAAATTATTTTTTTTAAGTTGTGGATTTTACTTTATTTTTTCAGCCCAGGCCCTTTTAGGCCTCCTTCCTTTTGCTGCTTCCTACTGCCTTTTGCGCCTGCAGGCCTCAGTTGTGGTCCCTCCTTGGCTTCTCCCCTCAGGCCCGCTGGAGACAGGAGGAGACCTTTCCCTGTGACTGGAATGTTTCCAGTCAGAAAGGTGCCCCCTGAGCTGCCGGGGCTCCCGTCTCCCACACCCTGCCTTCAGATCTGCCAGAGGCCCCTCTTTAGAAACCAGAAGCCCTTTCCTAGGGTAGCGGTCTTAGCATTTGAGAATCCGAGCACAAGAAGGCACCTTGGGGAGGCATTTCTGGGATCCTGTCCCTCACTTCCCAGGTGGGGAAACTGAGGGCCCTGCAGGGGCACATGGTGATGTAAAGAGGAGGTGGCGGAGGGTCTCCTGAGCCCCGGGCCTGGCCCCGTGCACACCTCCCTTCAGCTCTGGGCCTTGGCTCTGGCGTTGCTCAGGTGGGGTGCTCACATGCACCCCTGAGGAGATTTTGGCTCTTCTACAGTGTTTCATCCATTAACTCAGAAGTCGAAACCTCTTTGCAAACAGGGGCTTCTTCAGATAACCAGGTCTTTCTCCCTTTTGCTTCCTTCCCGCAAATGTTGGTGTGGTTGCTCTGGTGGGGTGGGGGATGGCGGGGCTCCTTTTTCAAGCCAGTAGACTGAGTTCCAGGCTCAGTCCCGTTTCCCGCCTGCAAATGACCAGTGTCTGCCAGATTCTTTGAAGCCACTGGTGCTGCTGCCTAGGAGACAGATGATAAAACGGGGCCCCACCTGAGCCCCAGTGCACCCCATCTGAAAGGGAGGCAGGCCTGGGCTCTTCCCCCCAGGCAGGAATTCAGACTTGACTCCTCCCTGCATTTGGGGTTTGGGACATCGCCTCAGTCCCGAGTATCTTTGTGTGAGCTCTGGCGCCTGGGCGGCTCGGTCACTGATGTGCCTCCCCCTCTGCCCCTCCCATTTTCTCTTCCCTCTAGGTCCTGGCCTGGCCTTCATTGCATACCCAAAAGCCGTGACCATGATGCCGCTGCCCACGTTTTGGTCCATTCTCTTTTTTATTATGCTTCTCTTGCTTGGACTGGATAGCCAGGTAAGGTACGGGTCGAGGGGACGCCCTGTGGAGGGCTGGCCCATGGGGACCGGTGTTCTGGGAAAGTCCCCTTCCCCTTCCAGCCCTCACATCAGACTTAAACCAACTGAAGCCCGCGAGGCTTCCTCTAGGACTCCGGTTGTGGGGGCTGGAGGGGCTGCCTGGGAAGAGGCCTCGGGGCAGCAGGAGGAGGACGTCTGACCCAGAGCTCGAGTGTCTGACCCCAGCCAGGGGGAAACGGACACTTGAAGTGTGTGGTTAAAGTGAAGCCCTGGATGGGAAGGAGAAGGACAAGACCACATGGTGATAATGTGTTTTCCACAGAGGGTCCCAAGGGGGGGCCGTGAGTGACGCTGCAGACAGGCAGTTCGGGGCAGGGACGATAGTTAGGGCCCAGGCCATCCCTGGTTCTCCCAGTGCAGCCAGAGCACCTACTGTTTGGTGAGGCCTAGAGCCCACGAGTTGTTCCCCACATGGGGAAACTGATCCTCCAGGGCTTAGTGAACAACTAAATACTGGGGAGCCTCGCTCAGACCTGCCCTGTCCTCTGGCCACCCAGCTTCTACCCTCCCACGGGAGGACTCCATCTATACCAGCTACCTCACACGTGGCTGTTCCCTACATGTCTTATCCCCTCCATCCCATCTGTCTGGGGCTCAGGCCTCGGGGGAATGTCAGGGAGAGCCAGCCAGAGGCCAAGTCTGGCTTTGGAGTCATAGTCGCAAACCCCCATGCTGCTGTGTGGCATTGGGCACCTTTCCTCCCCTCTCTGAGACTCGGTTTTCTCATCTGGTAAATGGACGTGATTATATCTCCACTGCCTTGTATGAAGTGTGAGGCACAGACAGAGTGAACTCCTGGATACCTTCCCATGGAGATACGTGTGTTCTCCTTGGGGTTGTCTCAAGAGGACAGTTCAGAGCACAGGCATGGCTCCAGGACGGGGGAGTTAGGATGTGCAGGGCGGGCCAGTAGTATGCCCAGACTAGAACCCTGCAAGCGGTGGGCCAGCATCTGAAAAGCAGGCCTTTTTTAGTCTCCTGGGTGGTCTGGGTCTCCGGCCACTGCCTGGGAAATCATTGGTTAGCTGGGACCACATGAGAGGTGAGGCCCGCTGCCAGGTCAGGAGAGGGCGTTACTACCCACCCCTGGGCAGCGGCCTCTGCACCGGGGCCCAGGGATGGGTCCTTGTGGACTCAGAACCAGGTAGGAGGACCATCTTAGAAGGTCAGGCAGAGGAGAGGAGGCAGTCTGCCAGCAAGGTCAAGAACAGAGCGAAGGATTTGGCAGGAAGGGGACTCAGGATTAGCAGAGAGAACAGAGTGGAAACATTCAGGAGCCTGAAAACAAAACACTTGTGCAGTTGGTGGTAGGTCTGAGCTGTAGGAACAGCGGGAGGACTCCATTAATCATGGCTCATTAATGAGTTTGGCCTTCGGAGGCCCCAAGCAAATGGCTTTTGTAACTTCTTCCAAAGCCTTTAGTGAAAAAACAAAAAAGCAAAAACAGAGGTTAATAAGTGACAAAGCATGACATCTCCATGGGCCCCCAGTGGGCCTCTTGGGCTGTGGGAGCTGCTTCCTGAGTGAGAGAGGCGGTTTATTCATTAGGTTTTCTCCTTGGGAGGCAGGGGGAGCCTGGCTGGGGATCTGCACCTCTCAGTTAGGCCTCATGGTGGCCAGCAGGCTCGGGGCATCGAGGCCAGCTCTCAAAGCCAGCCACAGTTGGGGGCGGCTGGGACCTTTTCTGCTCAGAACGCCTTCCCAAGCCAAAGCTCTGTCCCTGTAGCTGGACACAGCTGTGGCCCTGTTGAGCCCAGAAAACCAAGCCTGAGGAAAGAAGAGCTTGGTCAAAGCCATGCAGAGCTGGTTTAAGGAATGGGCTTGCCCATTAAGCTTCCCTGATCTCATTCACCCCCCTGCCACCGGCCTTACCTTGGAGATCCCCCCAAATAGCTTCCTCCCTGGAAGTGCAGAGATCCCCAGGCACCCTCAGGCAGGGGCCTCTTGCTGATGGAGTGTGACCCTTGCACGTGAAGGAAACACCCTCTCAGATGCCTAGCATCTTGGGGGAGCCCTCTTGGGCTTAGCATCCATCGTGCATTGTGTTCTTTCTCTGTGAGATGGAGGAGGGTTGTCGTGTGCCTGGAGGCAGACATTTGCACAAGAGAGCAATCAGCACAGGGCGGGAGGAGAAGGCTGGTCTATCTCCCCCGGAGCTCACTCAGCCCCTGACTTGGGTTCACAGCAATCACGCAATTGGCAGTTTTTCCTCTCGTGATTTCAGATCTTTCTCAACATCCCTGCTGAGTAGGCAAGATTCCCCTGATTGTACAGGGGAGACGACTGATGCTTGGAGAAACCGGGGTCCCATGACTGTTACGTGAGGGAGGTCTGAAGAAGCCGGTGGAGCAGGGCTGGAACATGGCCTTCTCCAGAAAGGCAGGGAACTTGGAAATGAGGGGCTTCTGCTGGTCTTGACCCTGACTCACAGTTGACACTTGCACCTTCCGGTCTTTAATTTCCCCATCTCAGAAAGGAAAGAACCTTTGTTTCGAGATTCCTTTTGAAGATGGATCTTGGAGCTGGCTCGCTGTAATTTGGTGGCAGTTTAGAGTCAAAACCCCGTTGGCTGACACATCAATCACAGAGGTCAAACCATCAGCCACTTCTCTTTGGGCCCCTTTCAAGAGCCTCTTGCTCATCTTTTCCCTGAATTCCTGGCAACAAAGAATCCTTTTTCCAGCCCCTTTCAGCCATGAAAGGGATTTGCTCCCTGTTTGTAGTCCTTGATCCTCCTGTGATACATCCCAGAGGAGTTAAGTGGTTGGATTTTTCTTGTAGGAATGCTGGGGAAACATCCTTCCCAGATGCCTCGCGCAGATGAAAGAACAGAAGGGTCAAGGTTTTAGCTTTGCAGCTTTGAAAGAAATCCGAGGCACAGGCCTGGGAGGGTGTGTTGGTTGGCAGAGAGTTTCGGTTCTAGTCACCAAAACGTAAAGTGTTTCTATGTACCCTTCAGCCCTGAAGCTTCCCCAAAGATAGAGGGAAAGGAAGAGTCCTTGCCCAGGTCAGCAGCCGCAGAAGCCCGGAACCCATCCACCGGGCATCGGTCAGACCCATAGCGATATGGGACTGCAGGACCGTTTCGTGTTGCTGTTTAAAACAGATAGCTTTCCATGTAATAATATGGATCAGTCTCCAGGTTACATTTTTAGTTGTAAAGATGGAAAGATTTAGAGAGATTCAGAATCATCCTAGCACATTACCCAAGGAGAGGCCTCTTCAAATGGGCTTCTTCCCCTTTGGGAGTGCAGGGTTGGGTTCCTGGGTGGGGGGGTGGGCACAGTGAGCACTTGGCTCGCACAGGTGGGCACTGGGATTTTTCGATGGATCCGCAGTCCCCGTGGAGCTAAAACCACTGTGTGAATGTTGGGGAGGGTGGGACCAGCAGGCGGGACTCCCCAGGCAGAGCCCACCAGATCAGGTTACTACATTTGGACTTGACCCCCCAACCTCCAGGCTACTCTGTGTGTGCTGGGGACTCTCCTGAGCAGAGGGGATGTGCTGGGCACCCGGGGCTCAACCACTGTCTTCTCTTCTGCAGTTTGTTGAAGTCGAAGGACAGGTCACGTCCTTGGTCGATCTTTACCCATCCTTCCTAAGGAAGGGTTTCCGTCGGGAAATCTTCATCGCCTTCGTGTGCAGCATCAGCTACTTGCTGGGGCTGGCGATGGTGACGGAGGTAGGTGGCTTTCTCACCTGGCACAAGGGACCTCCTCACTGTGGGGCTCTTGGTGACCTACATGCACTTCAAAGACCAGGTCAGGGCTGGACTGACGCCTGTCTGTGGAGGCAGTGGCTGGGTGGGAGCTTGGGGACAGAGGATCTCCTGGCCCCACCCGGCTCAGGGATCCCACCCTGCCGGCGGGAGCGGGGTGTGGGGGGGTGGACCTTGGCCTACTTTGTGGGCAGCAGGAGGCAGCTCAGGATCTAGCAATTGACCCAAACTCCCTAGCTCTTTCTCTTATTTCCATGGCAACACCATGCCCACCCCCTACCCTCTGTCCCTCCCTCCTTCCTTCCCTCCCTCACACCCAGGAGGCCTGGGGGAGGGGTACTTGAGGTGAAATCTATTTTAATAGCAGCTCTTTTCATCCATGACTGTGCAGTGGCCCTTCTCAGGGCTGGAGGGAGGTGGAGATGTTAGGGGGTGGTAAATGCAGTCCTGGTAAAAACTTCGGGCAGTGCCCGGGCCTATCTGGGTGACTGGGAGGGTGCTCTGTGCAGAGGGTGGGCCCGGGCCACGAGGAGGATCCATCCAAATGGGAAAAAAAAAGCCGCATGGAAGGAGGCAGGGAGTGTCCAAGGCAATAGCGGATCACCTAAGAAGAGGCAGGCCAGAAAGATTCTTGTGCTAAATAACAGAAGCATGGAGGCCTGGCCTAGCCGGCTGGCCCACACACCCTTCCTACGAACCTCCCCACAGTCTCCAGCAAATCATGCATTTGCCCCATAACTCAATTTGGGTTTCACATCACCACTTTTTCCTACCTGAAATACAAATAATTTTTTTCTAAAAGTGCCTTTAAGGAAAATACACACACACACACACACACACACACACACACACACACGCCAAAAGCAGATCACAGGTCACACTGAGCAGCTGGACATCACCAAAGTATTCTTTGCTGGCCTCTGTTTTCAGCACCTTCTTTTGGAAGCAGGCTTTAGGAAACCTGTCATTTTTGCAAAGGAAAACGTGTTTTGGTTCTGTGTGTGTGTATGTGTGTATTTTAAAGATTTTAACTTCATTAAGGAAAGTGTGGGGCTCGAACTTCTAACCCTGAAATCAAAAGTCACATATTCTTCCAACTGAGCCAGCCGGGTGCCCCTGAGAGAGAGAGAGAGTGTTGTTTGTTTGTTTTTTTAATAAGTAATTTTCTTTCCTTTTTTTTTTTTTTTTAAGATTTTATTTATTTATTTGACACCGAGATCGCAGGTAGGCAGAGAGGCAGGCAGAGGGAGAAACAGGCTCCCTGCTGATCAGAGAGCCCGATGTGGGGCTCAGTCCCAGGACCCTGAGATCATGACCTTAGCTGAAGGCAGAGGCTTAACTCAGCCAGCCGGGCACCCCTGAATATGTGTTTTTAATTAAACTTGTCAAACATGAAGTTGAGCATCTTTGTACATATGTATCTGGTCATTGTGGTCTGTTCCCATTTTTCTCTTGGGTTTTTTATTTCTTAATGATATGCCAAAGCTCTTTATATATTAAGAGAGTTGGATACCAAGTAGCAAAACAACATTCTCTGGTTCTTTTCTTCACAGGGTGGCATGTATGTGTTTCAACTCTTTGACTACTATGCAGCTAGCGGTGTATGCCTTCTGTGGGTTGCATTCTTTGAATGTTTTGTTATTGCCTGGATATATGGTGAGTACAGATTGCTGTGTATCCTTTCTCAAGTCTCTGCTTTGGGTCTCTGTATTTAGAAGCTTCCAAAACAGAGACTTCTCAGGGGAATTCATTTGGAGTTGAACAGGAAGGCCCTGTCTGGACCTTTCCCCTCCAGGCTGCCCCTTCCCTGCAGAAATAATACCATTGTAACCGCGTATGTATTCTCCCCATGCCGGAGATGCAGGCTGTGACTGTATGTTTTGACAAGCACAGAATTTGGCTGAGCAAGGGTCTCCCTGTGATTCATTGCTCTGGGATCCAGGCGTGGTCCACTTCAACCCTCTTGAGACCTTGGATTGGCCACACCAAGATTGGGGTTTGTCTAAGTTTTCCTGAAAAATAGAGGATGCCCAGTTACATTTGAATTTCAGATAATTTTGTATAAACGTCTGTCTGCCACTCTTGGATCTTCTTGGCATCGAGTAGCAGAGACCTAGAGCAGACCCCAGGAACTCCCCTTCCCCCCACCCGCAATGGCCCTTGAGCCCCTGCTGTGCAATTCAGATGCTAGTATTGGACTTGGTGTCACCATCTGTCTACCTCTGTCTCTCCTAGGCAGCGATAACCTTTATGACGGTATTGAGGATATGATTGGCTATCGGCCTGGTCCCTGGATGAAGTACAGCTGGGCCGTGGTCACTCCAGTTCTCTGTGTTGTGAGTTCTGCCCTGCCCGGCTGTGGGTGCTAGCCTTTTCTCCTTGGGGCTTGACGTTCTCACATGCTAACCCATCTTAGCACCTGCTAAGTGCTGGCCTAGAGCAAGCCCGGCGATGCCTCTGCCTGGGAGAGGTGGGGCCGTAGGCTGCTCCCAAAAGTTACGCTGAGATGAGTTTTGAAGGATAATTAAGACCTGGTGAGGAAGAGAAGAAAGGAAGGGCATTCCTGGCAGAGGAACCAGCACATGCAAAGGCAAGGCATTCTGAAGGAGGAAGGTGTATGGGCTCGTGTTGAGAAATTCAGGGGGTCCACAACAGAGCACATAACCTTTGCCCAAGCCCTTCTGGAACTCATTGAGCACAGTTTGGGTCACTGATAAGTCGAGGGGCCTTTGGGGGTATCAAATGGGGTCAGGTCATAGATGTTGAAAATGGGGTATTTCCACAGTGGGGTGGGGGTCAGAGGCAGTCCCAGCAGAGAGATGCTGTGGACTGTCCCAAGAACAAGGAAGCTTTGTAATGGCCCTGGACCCAAAGGCGGTGATAATGCTGCATTCCTCTTTGCACCAGGGTTCTGTTGCCCACCGTCTTGGAATGTAGCTTTGAGCTTTTGCAGGCACCCCACTTCAAACTCCCACTCAGGCTCTGGCCAAAGAGATGACTGCTTCCCAGTCATTATTTGAAACTAGTCGGGAGCTTTGGAGCGAACCTCAGGGGAAGACATCTCCCACGCCATTCTTGGCTCATACCATGGGGAGTGCAAATGGCAGAAATGGTCCTTGCATTTAGGAGCTAGGTGCTGAGAGGTGAATGGATCCTCTTCTCAGTGACCCCACTCCCAGGCCAGAATAAATCCACACTGCCCTTAACTCACCATGTGGAACCTTAAGCAAGTCCCTTACCTCTCAGGGCCCCAGTTTACCATGTCATAAAGCAAGGACTCTGCAGTGGGAGGTGAGTGGCTGCTGTGGTCTTTTCATCTGAGGTGTGTATCCTCCCCACAAAATTCAGGAAACGGTAGCAGCTAGGAGCCACAATAGGCGAGTTACTGATATAGATGAGTTTAGTTGGGTTCAAAGCCTGTGTTCTTATCCTCACTTGACATTGATTTGTGAGAAACTTCTCTCAACCACTCTGACCATCAGTTTCTTCTCTTTTCCTCCCCAAGGAGTTGGATAGATCAGAAGTAGCCTGCATTCCCAGGTAGTAGGATAAGGTCACCCTGGTGGAAAGAGGAATATGAATGGGCAGGTACCAAGCTTCCTGGTGCTGGGAGAGCCTAGAGCAGCCCTCTTCTGACCCTCTTCCTTGTCTAACCTACACCTTACCCTTAGGGACAGGAACAACAGGGCCAGGCATATAGTAGAGGCCTAGTGGAAGACATCTGCAGCCTAATGCTCTCCCTTCCCGCCTCGCTAATTCTGATTTCTCTAGATTGTTTTCCCGTTAACCCATAGATACTACATACTAGTATCTAACCCATAGATAATAGATACTAGTAAAGATTTAAGTCGTGTTAACACTGTGGGTAACTCTAAGACAGCCCTGGGTTATGCACTGAGATGCTGGAATTCTGACAAGAAGCAGAAGTCCTGGGCCTTCCCAGCCAGCCTTATGTGCTCTTGTCAGGGAAATGTGGACTTGGCACAGGCTTTTGGGCTCAGAGCTCACTGTACCCTACCATTCATGGATGTTGATGGCCATTGGCCTTTGGCATGGGCTTGGGGCTCGACACCCAACTAGGCAAGGCCCAGATCCCCACCTGGTCGTAGGAGGCTAGGTCTGGAGGTCAGGTATGGAGATGGGTGGGTGGTGGCAGGGGAGGGGAGGAAAGACTTAACAGCCACGCAGCTAGCATTTATTGTGTGCCTAGAGCTGCCCCAGGTGTAAGAGAAGAAGACTGACTCAGTTGGGTGGGGGAGTGTGCGCTGAAGAGGTAATAACCACATCCTTCCTGGGAAGGGAGAGAGTGGACCAACCTGACTACTTCTGGGCAGGGCCTCGGCAAGTAAGGCAGGACCACGAGAACTAAATTAGGATGAGAAGAGGACAGGTGAAGGGATCCAGTCAGAGAACAGCCTGTTCTAAGGCACTGGCTTAAGGAGCTGGAAGGATTTCACGGTAGCTGGAGTATGGATATGGGAGGAAGGGGTAGTGGGTAGGTAAGGGGTAAAGGGGCATGGCTTTTGGCTGATGTTGCTGGCCAGGCTGAGGAGTTTGGACAGCATCCTGAAGGCACTGGGAAGTCACAGAAGGGTCCTGAGCAGGGAAGCGACTTGATCAGATTTGCCCTGGATGGGGATGGGGGGAGGGTCCTCAGCAGAGTAGAAAAGGGTGAGAGGTGGTCTCCGAAGCTCTCTGCCCCCGGATCCCTCCTGACTGTGCTATCTCTCCACAGGGATGTTTCATCTTCTCTCTCGTCAAGTACATCCCCTTGACCTACAACAAAGTCTATGTGTACCCCACCTGGGCCATCGGGCTAGGCTGGAGTCTGGCCCTGTCCTCCATGATGTGTGTCCCCTTGGTCATGGTCATCCGCCTCTGCCAGACGGAAGGGCCATTTCTTGTGGTGAGCCCCAAGGGCCGAGGCTGGATGTGGGGGGTGCGGGAGGGCAGGGTGGTTGGGAAGGTGAAAGCCAGCTACTGGCTGTTGGCTGTCTGTTTGCTGTGTGACCTTGGGCACACTGCTGCCCTCTCTGGGTCCTGCACCCCTTGCCTGCCCCATGGAGCGATTGAGATTGTGGGCAGGCCTGTGGGGGAACGGGACAAAGAACAGTTCATGGGGACAGAGGCTCTGCAGTGATGTTCGGAGCAGGGCTGTGGGCAGGAGGAGGAATTTGTCAGGCAGAGAATGAGATGTGGAAGGCCGCGATGCCATGTAATAGCCTTTGGCCATAGTGACGTGTTCTGGGGGTGGTGGTGGGCGATGGCGCTGGACAGGTGACCATGGGTTTGCATGCCAAACTCGGAGCTAAGGCTTCATCCTAGGGCCATGTTACTAAAGCCGTAATGGGAGACAAGAAGCCAGGAAGGAACCTCCACCCAGAGGCCTTCTCTTACCCTGAAGCCAAGTTTTGAATAAGCCCAACTCATGCTCGTGTTCCCTTCCTCACATCTGTGGCCCTGTCTGCTGCCAGAGACAGAGCCTCAGGCCCCCAGGTCCCTGTGCCTGCCAGACTCTCACCCGGAGGCCCCCTCGTTACCACCAACCCCTCAGAAATGTCTCCCAACAATACTGCAGATTCCAGGCTATGGCAAAAGCTGGGGCTCTTTCCAAGAAATCCTTTTCTTAGAATCTCCGTTAACGTTTGGGTTTGGGCCAGCTCCAAGACTACACTGTTTTGTTCTGGGCTGTTTTTATTGTTATTCTCTTAAAAATCTGGAGCCAGGATGTCCTGGGGCCCTGGCTCCCCCTTGGGCTGGGCCAGTTTCCTTGTGGGCAGGGGAATGGCCTGGAGGTGGTGGTGGGGAGAGAGGGGTGGCCCCGGGCAGACAGCAGCTGCCTGCCCTAGACAGAGGAAGTAGGCGGGGGTGTGCCTGGGAGGAAAACAGGCCGTGAAGCTGGGGTCTGTCTGAGCCAGGATAGCCCTGGGGCCCTTGGGGGGTTCCTGCAGCATCCACCCGTTGTAATTTCTCAGAGGACACAGGAAAGGACCGCAGTGTTCAGCCAGAATACTGGTAGGCCCTGTGATTTGTTAAAATCCTGAACTATTGGGTCTGGGGAATGGCCCTGAGCCCTCCACTCGGTGGAAATTTCCAGAATGTCCCTACTATCCAGAAACTAGAGAGGTGATGGGGCACAGCGGAGGGTCTTGGATGTCTGTTCTGATTGATCAGTTCCCGCAGCAGTCACATTATTTCAACCGTGGGGTGATGTGGGGGACGGACACCTGACGCTAATTTGTGTCCCTTCAAAGCCTAGTTCTAAAATAGTGTTCCATCCCAAGTTTAGAGGTTTGATGAGAGTGGGGTTTGTGCAGGGGAAGGAGGAGGGTGTGGGTGAGGCCGCCACCCAAACTTGCATCTACAAACCAGGTGGACAACCCAAGCCCCCTGCCCTAAAGGCCTAGGAGCCACCATCAGTCTGTTTGCGATGGGCCACTCGACATGTCTCCCGTCTGTGCTTCCAGCCGTGAGCGTCTCTCTGGGCTGGGTGTGCAAACCCAGAGCTCTGTCCTGGGATGACTCCAGCTCCATCTGCTTCTTGTCCCGTCTTCTGGGCATGCACCTGTGCAGAGAGGCGGTGTGATGGAAGGGAGCCGAACTGGCTCTCTGGCTGCCCTTTCCATCCTTTGCCCTTTTTCTGGGGCCTCCAGGCCGGTTCCCCCAGGATCGGCAGGGAACCCAGGCGAGGGAAGCCCTCAGGCAGGGCTGGGAGGGCCCTGGAGAAGGTGATTCCAGAGCTGCAGCAGACAGCCAGGCCTCCACTGTGGCCTGTTGTTATGAAGAGGGAATGTGTGACCCTGGGCTTTCCAGATCTTGCAAGTTTTTAAGAGCAGATGGCAATCTGGATTTTCCAAGTGAGATAACAGTAGCTTTTAATAAGTAGCTTAAAAAATGGTAATATACTTAAATGGAATGTAAACGCCTAGTAGGAAGTAAGGCGGCTCCTTCTTCACAACTGCTTCCAGCTGAGTCTCTGAATGGACACTTGGCCGGGAGGGGAGCTGGGAGTCAGGAGCCCTGAGTTCCAGTCCTGATTCCACTGTTAGCTTCCTGGGATATGTATCCTGGGAAGGTCTTGGCCTCCCTGAGTCCATGATCCGGCAATGAGCCAGGGAGGACAACTCACCATGCCCAGAAGTGGTGGGATGATTGTCACACAGTCCGATCTCTGGCTCCTTCCTCTTTGTCAGAAGATGCAGCTCTGACATGGGCAGTGGTCTCCCAGCTCCCAGTAGGGAGAACCGGGTACCCACGAGGGTGGCGGCGGGGCAGAGGACCCTAGTGAAGGAAGGCGGGAAATGGAGTTGGCAGGCGGCCAAGGAGTTTAGAGTTTCTCCTTGGGGAAGGTGGGAGCCATATGAGAGGCTCAACACAGCTCTCCAGCCTCTGGCCTACGAATGGCAGAAACTCAGGCTGCCTTGCAAGTCCGAGAAGTCAGGGGATGGGAATTACAAGGAGGCATATTTCAACTTCATGGGAGAAAGAAGTCAGAGCTGGGAGGTGTGAGTTCCCTGTCCCTGAGGTGTACAAGCAGGGGGTTGGCCAAGGAAACTGCTGACAGGAATTCTGCCCTGATCCAAGGCCCGGAGGGACCTGAGAAGCACCTTAGTTCAACTCCTTCATTTGCCGGTGTTGTGGGGGGTCTACTAGTTTGTCCAAGGCCAAACAACCCACAGGTGGGACTCAGAGGCGGGAAGGGGCAGACAGGGGAAGCCGGCTGCCTGACTTACCTCTCTGCTTCTGTCTCCTTCCTTCTCCAGAGACTCAAGTACCTGCTGACCCCAAGGGAACCCAACCGCTGGGCCGTGGAGCGCGAGGGGGCTACGCCCTACAGCTCCCGCCTGGCCGTGAATGGCGCTCTCATGAAGCCCACCCACATCATAGTAGAGACCATGATGTGAGCTGTTGGGCGGCCGGGCTGCTTCCCTGCTGTTTACTAACATTAGATTCTCATAGGACCAGGTTTACAGAGCTTTCTATTTGCACTAGGATTGTTTTTTTTAATTGTCACAGAAAATGTTACCCTGTGTGTGTGTGTGTGTGTGTGTGTGCGCGTGCGCGCGTGTGCATATGGGTGTGGGTGTGGTATTGTGCGTGTGCGTATTTTTGTTTTGATTTGGAGATATTTTGTACAAAAAGAAAACCCACCGGCAGATGTCCGGGGCGAGGCAGAGCTTTCATACTGAATTAGATGTATTTTATGGGAACTTGGTAAATTTTTCTTTGTATTTTTTTTTAAACATATATATACATTTAGAGATTGTCACACTCTTTTACCACTTGAATGGATCTTCTTGCCAGCAATAGATCTCGTTTTCAAAAGCAATTCTTTGGTGCTTGCGTAGCTGGCAGAAAGTTCTGCCCCCAAAAACACAGGGTGGAATTTTCCTGGACAGTAGCCCCATTTTTAAAGGTGTAGTACCTTCCCAACCTGGTTCAAATAGAAGCATACAGCTAGGGAAGGGGAGGCTCCTTGAGCTGGCCAGACCCAGAGGGGCTGGAGGAAGAAGGGCCACGAGAAGATGCTTCATTACACTTGTCCTGGCAAGGAAGAGAGATGCTAAAATAATGAATCAACCCCTCAGATGAAGGGACTAACTTAAAGCAGACAGACGGGGCCACACAGAGAGATTCTCTAGAAACCGTTGCACCAGGAGCAAAATCCCACCTAATACTTTTGAAATCGAGGGTGGATAATCAGAAGGATTGTCGGAGGGAGTGTCAGGACCATTTGTCCAGTGGGGAGCGGCAGGAGCCCCCAGGAGGGCTGGTGAGGCTGGCGTCCGGACATTCAGGAGCCTTCAGGAGGCTGACCGCTCGGCTGCTGCCCAGAGCATCCTGGTAGAGGTCTGAGACCAGCCCAGCAAGAGCCAGCGGTCTTGGGGCTCCAGACCTCACACTGATGGGTCTGTTGCATTTTAATGGGGTTCTGTCAGGTCCTGGCTGTTCTCCAGCTGACCTCTCTCGCAGCTGCGTGTAGGAGAGAAGCACGATGTATTCGGTGAGGGACGAGGGGTGAGCCAGTGGACCAAAGGGTGTGGGCCCAGGCATTCAGAGAGGCCTGGTGTCAGGGAGGGCTGCTTTTCTTTCCTTATCTCTCCCCCTTCAGCTCTGTCCTCATCTCCCAGAGGCTGGGAGACTCCTGACAAGCTCCCCACCCAGGGCTGCCCCAGCTCCTAGCTGGGAGTGCCAAGAGTGCTTTTGGAGACTCCCTGAATCTTAGATTTGGGCAAAGTGCTCCCAAACCCTCCTCCGCATTCAGGCACAAGAGCGGCCCTTGGTGTTGACTTGGGAGATGGCAAAGCTCTTCACATCATGACTCCTGCAGTAGCCAGTATTAGAAGCGCACTCTGGGGGGGAGCGAGGAGAGGAGGTGAGGGAGCATTTTCTAGAAAGACGGGATTGTTCGGGGGGCCGGCACCCCAGAACTGGTTTGACCAAGAGCCCTATTGAGAGTGGCATCCCTCTCTGAACCAGGAGAGGAGGTACTGCACCTTTAAAATGCTGAGGCGGATATGTCTCCCCTGAAGCCCCCATTTGGACCTAAACTGTGCCATTTGAACTGTCACTTTCAAGTTCAGAGTCTAAACTTAAACCGAAACATTGTCATGCACAAACGACGGTGACTGCCTCATGGGGTGTGGGGAGTGAAGTCCAGCTCGGGTTTGGGCTCTCTGAATCCTGGAACCCTCTCCCCAGATTTGGAAGGGGAGGAGCCTCTGGTGTCCCCCATCCCAAGGGGCAGAGGCAGTCCTGAACCTTTTCTCTTTGGCAAGCATTCACATTTCACTGTTTCCAAAGCATATACTCTGCCAAACAACACCCAGTTCTATTCCAAACTGTTAACAATTCTGTGTTCCTGTTTTTCTATGTATTTATGGTTGCCGCTGTGTCTGATTTGATTTTTGTTGTTGTTTCCTAATTTTACTGAGTAGCAATGTGACCTGTTTTTCTTTGTCTCATGGAACTTAGTAAACTAACCACTGTCGACGATTGGGGACAGGTGATGTGTGGGGATCTGGGGGGCTTGGCAAGCTCTGGCTGCCCAGGCATTTGTGGTCATTTCAGGCTACAACATCTCCCCTCCGGTGAAAAGCTCCAGTATTTTGGGTTGGTAGGCAAATTGCAACATTTTGGAAATGGCCCGAGAAAGGCCTCTTCCAAGATTCGAAGACCAAATTCTAGACCAAAGAAACATGCAGACCAAGTCCCCAGGCCCCACCTGGAAGGAAGGTCAGCTACTTTCCCCAAGCCCGTTCCTCGACAATCTCCCAATGCACCTGTCTCCAATCGGCCCCTCTTGTCTACTCCCCTAGCCCTTGTGTATCTGCAGAACTTGGCTCTGTGAGTACAAGGTGTAATGATGCGTGACTTTTATATGTCTCCACATAAAGGAAACTTGTCATTGGAGCTCATGACTCTGGTCCTCCTGTCTCTGGAGAACAGGTGTTCCGCCCACGCTCTGCCTTGGGATGGGTCAGAAATTCCGGTGCCCCCACATAGCGCAGTCTTGGCCTGCTCTGAGAAGGGGATGCAAGGGAGATGGTTAAAGGACTTCTTGAGGAATGGGGAAGGGGCTCTGGATAAATCTCACCCAAGGAGATGGTTCATTGAGCCTGGCAGGGGCCATGTCGGTCCCTCCAGTGGACCGCCCTGCGTGAGCAGTGCCGCCCCAGTCGGCACCCTTGTAAAATGGGGGAAATGAGGCCCAGAGTGAGCAAGAGACAAGGCACAGCGAGCAGGGACTGGAACCAGATTGTCTCCAGTCAGTTCCAGTGGCAGATTCTCCAAGGAGGGGGAGGTGTGGCGAGTGGTGAGTGCAGCTCCTCAGTGTTCTCCCTGAAGACCAAAGACGAGCCTTTATGAAAAAGGAAAGCGCTCTGTCCCCCAGCATTCAGGGATGAGGAGAGCAGCAACCCCCCACCCTCTCACCATTCTCGGGCCACCCAGACCTCCTGCTGCGGCTCTGTGGGAGAGGTGGCCGCCCGCCCTCCAGCAGGAGAGGCAGCACCCTTTCACCCTGGCCCTGCACCCAACAACCCTCGAAGCTAGGAATTGAGATCCCGATTGCATGTGAGGAAACTGAGGCCCAGTGAAGCCACCCAGTGGGTGTACAAGAGGCAGAATCCCTTAGGCGAGATTGAGCCTGAGGGCATGCATGACATTCCCAGGCAGCAAGAAGTGGTCCTGGAGGATTTCTGGGCGATACACAGCCCCCTCTCTGGACCTCTGTGCCCTCATTCTCACTCCAGATCCCCAGTGCACCCCCCTCAGAGAAGGTGCTGAAGCACTAGGGGAGTTAGCCAACCTCAGCCTGGCACGGGGTGATCTGTGTTTCCCAGCTGCCACCACACAGAGGTCCAGAGCCCAACCAGCATCTCCCCAACACCGCTCTTCTGAATGGGGCAATGCTCTGGGCAGCCAGTGCTTAAGGCAGAGGTGCCTCCCTTCCCCCAAGCCTCAGACACAGGCCAGGAAGGATCCGAGAGAACCATCGAGGTCCCATGAGGTCGCATCTGCCCCTGAGACCCAGTGTCAGGCACCCCCAGGCTGGGCTGTCCGTGTGGATCCTGTAAATAGCACTGTGCACAAATTCAACAAGCACGAACCAAACCACATCCCAAATACCAAACTCAGAGAGGGGCGGGAACACCTGGAAGCCAGAGAATCGCATTTCCCTCACCCCCGTACCCTGTTAATGCCTGGCCCTCAGAATGCTCTTGTTTTAATAGGAAGCTGTGCTTCATTGTTCTTCTGTGGGTGTCACTACAGACATGTTCTGACAGTTCCCCGAGGGATGGAGCATCTTGTTATATATCCGGCTTCAAACTGAGATGTTGGCTCCATTTCTTTCTTTCTCCCCCCCCACCCCCAATTAATTTTCGAATCCCTAGCAACTGTGACTCTGTATTTAGCACAAGAGAAAGCTGAGAACGTGGGTCTTGCCTCCTTCCAGAAATATGTCTGGCTCATCAGGACTTTTTTTTAAAACTTCAAAATATTTTTAAGATATTTTAAACTTTTGTAAAAAAAAAAAAAACCACCAACGAGACTCTTCTGAGGAGGAACATTTGTATCTGAATAAGATCCTTGATGTGTAATTCAGTCTTGCAGTATACAAGCTTTTGTGTATAAATGTTTTATGATATGAATCCCTGTATTTTGCAGGGCTTTCCTTTTTCCTCTTTTGCTTTTTAGATAAATATGTATATTGATATTTTAAATTCATCTTTGCTTTTTTTTAGAGGAGTTTGTAATCACCTTATAACATGAAAATAAACATTTCCTTTTTAAAATCCAACATGTGTGCGTTCTGTTTTGATGAAGCTGTCAGGAGGGAGGACACTCAGGACCCCAGAAAATAAGTGGTTGGCACGGATGTCCTCTGCTTTGGGAATCATGTACCCAGCCCACTGTTATAGACTAGGGCTCAACCTCAAGGGGGTCACAGGGCAGGTGATTTTACTGATGAGTGTGGGCACCTTCAGGGAAGCCTGCTGGGTCCTTTCCCCAACTTCCTGAATGATCAAAAAAATCTCCCAGTAACTCATTATTTATAGACAGTGTTAGAATATAATACCCCTCCCCCAGCTCTTTTGCTGGCTGTTGGCCTTTCTGATGGACTCTGTCCACCTTTCTCCTCCTGATGTGCCTTGGCCATATAATTTTGTCAAAACTGTAGCTCCATTCCCTGTGACTCAGGGCAAGTTACTTAACCTCTGTGCCTCCTTTCATCACCTGGAACATTGGGATGATAACAGAGCCACCTCCAAAGGCTGTCGGAGGATCCACAGGATTCTCAAAAAGCAAGCAGGAACATGCCTGCATGCAGCCAGTGTGAGGGCCGGACTGTCACTCTCCAATGACCCCTCCCTCCTGTTTCGGAAGGGCCTGACCTGTCGCCCAGCTCTAGGAGGAGGAGCCGTGCCCTGTGTGCAACTCGCTTTTGGCTTCCCTAGCCCAGAGGCATCATTGCACTCAGTGT